GCCCACGGGATACTAACCCCGAGCAGGGCCCCGGGCACAGCGAGCCACGGGGAGGGCAGGGCTGGGCACGGCCCCGGGGTCACTAACGCGTGTCCTCGGGCACGGAGCACGGTGTGGCTTGTGGCACTGTGGCTTGTGGCACGGGCACTGCTGCACACGGGGGCTCGGGCAGAGCCGCCCCGGGCCCGTCCTCGCTGCGTGTGGGGTCCCCGTGGCGTCCCCGTGTCCGTCCCTGTGCTCTGCCTGAAGTGTCGGGAACCCCAGGCACACCCCGGCACCCGCAGAGGGCTTTGCCAGGGCTTCTGTGTGCCGTGGGCACAGAGGCCCCTTCCAGAGCAGGAAACAGGACTGGATCCAGGTAATGGCTGCATGGGAACATCCCAGCCACCTCCGAGCCCGGGGACACCCGGCTCTGCTTCGGTCACTCGCGTGGTTGGACACGGCTGTGCCGGGGCTCACAGGTGATGGTGGTGGCACTGCCGATGGTGGCCCTCTGGGCACCCAGAGGGGGGCATCAGGGTAATCCCAAATGATCCCTGTAGTGAAGCCGTGGATGTGCAGCAGCCCCGAGGGCTCGGTGAGTGGGGCCTCAGTGCTGTGTGTCAAGGGTGCCTGTCACTGGGCTGCTGCCACCCCAGGAGTGCCACCCACACTCCTCCTGGTGCCTCAGGCTGGAACTTCCTCGGGGGCTTGGCATTGCAGACCCTCCAGGCATCCATGGGGCTCCCACCATGGTGAGAGCCTGGGGGCAGGCTCTTGTGCCACCCTGCTGATGGTGTTTGGGGTGCCGAGACGCTCCTGATGGCATTTGGGGTGCACCACTTAACTGGGCTGACTGGTGACTGCACTGGGAACCAGCAGCAAAGGCTGCACCAAAGCAGCTGCATCCCCTGGACCTGCCTGAGGTGGGAAGAGTGAGGTGTGTGTGTGTTCCTGCAGGGTCTGGAACAGAGTCCGACAGCGATGAGTCTGTACCAGAGCTCGAAGAGCAAGACTCCACACAGGCCACGACACAGCAGGCGCAGGTAGGGCGGGTGGCACGTGCCATCCGTGGTGGATCAGGATCCCTGTGGGTGCCCTCCTGTGTCCCCTCGGGGTTGTCACGGCTCCCTGTTGTCCCCACAGCTCGCGGCAGCGGCCGAGATAGATGAAGAACCCGTCAGCAAAGCAAAACAGAGCCGGAGCGAGAAGAAAGCTCGGAAGGTGAGGGGGGGGTGGGCCTGACCTGTCCCTGCTGGGCAGCCCCAGGGCTTGAGGTTGTGCTGGGCACCTCACCAGTCCTGGGACTGCAGTGTTCACTCTGGCTGACACCGGGAATGCTGCTCACTGAGGGCACATTTCCGTGTGTATCCACACAGCGAGCATTGGACCCGGGCTCTGGAGAGAGAAGTGGGCACATCCGGGCATCTGGAGCTCTTCCTTCCCTCGCTGACCTCCCCCTGGTGTTTTTCAGGCAATGTCCAAACTGGGCCTTCGCCAGGTGACGGGAGTCACCAGGGTCACCATCCGGAAATCCAAGAACATCCTGTTTGTCATCACAAAGCCAGACGTGTACAAGAGCCCGGCGTCAGACACCTACATTGTCTTTGGCGAGGCCAAGGTGAGCCCACCCTGGTAGCACCTGGGGGCCAGCAGGTTCCCTGTTGTCATGTGTGCACTGTGTGGCTCCCACCATGAGTCCCTGGGGACCGTGCCAAGGGCTGGTTTCCCGTCTGGGCCGTGTGGCAGAGCCGTGGGATGTGCTGGCACCACCCAGGACTGGCCTCAGCTCCGCTCCTTCCCTCCTGCAGATCGAAGACCTGTCCCAGCAGGCCCAGCTGGCAGCTGCAGAAAAGTTCAAAGTGCAAGGAGAACCTGTTTCAAACATCCAGGAAAACACACAGACCCCCACCGTGCAGGAGGAGAGCGAGGAAGAGGAGGTAACACCTTCCCCAGCCTGTCTGGGCGGGTCTGCTTTGGGATAATCCGGGGATTCCTTTCCTTCACCCGTCTCTTTGCAAAGGGAGAGTGTGGAGTCCTCCCCCGGGGGTCTGTGCAGGGCAGGTCTGGCCTCCCAGCTCCCATCCCTGTGGGTGGAGCAGGAGCCTCCCCAATCCAGGCAGTCTCAGGCTGCGCCAGGCCCGGAGCTGGCGCCCATCCCGGGCTCTGTCCGTCCTGCAGGTTGACGAGACGGGGGTGGAGGTGAAAGACATCGAGCTGGTGATGTCGCAGGCGAACGTGTCGCGGGCGAAGGCCGTGCGAGCCCTCAAGAACAACAGCAACGACATCGTAAACGCGATAATGGTGAGTGGGTTGGGGTGTCCTGGGGGCTCGGGGGGCTCCTGGCTGGCTCCTGACCCCCCTTCTCCCCGCAGGAGCTGACGATGTAGCCGCCGGAGGGAGGAGCCTTTTTTGGTGTTTCAGAGAAGACTAAAATACAGCTAAATTTAAAATTTGTACTATTTCTATCGGTTAATAAAAGTTGTGGCTTATTGTTGGTGAAACACTCGCTGCTCCGTGGTGGTGGGTTGCTGCCCTCCCTTTCCTGGGAGCCCTGGCCCCAGGGTGGAGGCTTCCTCCTGGGAAGATCCTGGCCCTGATACCCCGTCCTGACACCACCTGCCTGTTCCCTCATTTCCTTCCTGCCCCAAAGGACGGCTGGACACGAGCCCGGGGCAGTGGCGTGCCGGGCTCAGTCACTGCAGGGTCTCACCTCCTTCATCCTCCCGGGGTCCCCTTCAAGGGGGGCTTCTCCTCGCTCCCCTGCAGCGTGTGACGGATGGATGGGGGTGTCGTGGAAGAGGGGAAGGCTGTGGATGTGTCTGCCTGGATGCCAGTAAAGCCTTTGATACTGTCTGCCAGAGCATCTTCCTGGAAAAGCTGCAGCCCAGGACTGGGACACTCCTTGGGGTTAAAACCCACCCGGAGAGGGGTGGGGACACATTCCATGGGGCCATGTCAGGGTCACCTTCACCCATGATCTCAACAAGGGGATCAGTGGCACCTCAGTTCACAGACAACACCGAGTTGGGTGGGATGTGGGTGTGCTGGAGGGCAGGAAGGCTCTGCAGAGGGATCGGGACAGGCTGGATCCAAGGGCCGAGGCCAACGGGGGGAGGGTTAACAAGGCCAAGTGCCAAGTGCTGCCCTTGGGTCACACCATCCCCATGGAGCGCTTCAGCCTGGGGGAAGCAGCTGGAAAGCTGGGAAAGGCCCTGGGCGTGCTGGTGACAGTGGCCGGACATGAGCCCAGGTGTGCCCAGGTGGTCAAGGAGGCCAACGGCCCCTGGGCTGTGCCAGGCACGGTGTGGGCACAGGCCCAGGGCAGGGACTGTCCCCCTGTGCTGGCACTGCTGAGGCCCCTCAGGGCTGTGCCCAGTTCTGGGCAAGAGAGACACGGAGGGGCTGGAGCGTGTGCAGAGCCGGGAACGGAGCTGGGGAAGGGGCTGGAGAACTGAGGGAGCTGGGGGGCTCAGCCTGGAGAGGAGGAGGCTCAGGGGGCTCTCAC